GTATATTTAGGTCATAGTATAAAAGAAGGAGCCTGAACATGTAAAAAAAAAAAAAAGGAAAATAAAGTAAGACAAGAATATATAAAGAGTAGAAGGAGGCAAACCAACTGGAACCTACCTCATTCTTTGCTAATACCAGTTCTAAAAGTTACATGAAGCCTTTCAAAGCAGATGTGGATAATACATTTTAATCAAAATTAAATAGAGCCATTGAAATTCAGAATTCTTCATACCAAAGAAACCTATTTAGCATGGAAAAATGAAGAGACAACTGCACTAGAGACTGCGGTGTGTGTTCTCATGCAGTTCTTGGTTAGTGCTGTCACCTGGAAAAGTCTTTCCATCTATTTCCTGTCATGAGGTGTGTGTTCTCAGGCAATTCTTGGTTAGCGGTGTCACCTTGGAAAAGTTTCTCTACCCACTTCCTGTCATGAGTGAAACTGGATGGTATCCAAATTATTTTTTATTATTTTGCATCAAAGAAGATCTGCTTAGTAGGTGTCTTAGTATAACTGATAAGTGGGTGGCATATGCCAACATGTCAGGTAAATGTGTCAGAGATGATCACTGACTAAATAGAACAAGTATGGCATGCCATCTAGAAATCTGACCAGCACTGAAGATTTTTTGCCTAGGATTTAGGAGATCCAACAAGAACACGCAGAGTTGAATTGAACAGATTGAAAAGAACATCACTGAACTCTGAACATCCAGTTTTGTTTTCTCCAAACACAGGGAAAACAAGTTCCACAACTATATAGAGAGAGCCAATTGTCACTACATGAGGGCAGAGACTGGCTCTATTGGCTAGTGTCCGAATCCAGGGGCTGCAACTTAATAGCTGTGTGATTTTGGGTTATTACCAGACCCCTCTGAATGCTGGTTTCCTACTCTGTAACATCTACTTTATAAGAATGTTGCGATGATAAAATAAGAAACTTGATTCATCTATTAGCTCATTCAACAAATATTTAATAAGTTCCTTGAATGTATCTAGCACTATCTTAAACAACGAGGATAAAACACTGACAAAATAAATAATATAATACATGTAAGGGCTTTGCACAGTGCCAGGGACTTAAAACACAGTCAAATTATCAGTCCAAGGAAAGATGACCCTCTTGCCTTTTCCCACACAAAACACACACCACCTTGACTACATGGCTCCGGTAAGCTGTGGGGGTGGGGTCAGTGTACTTGCACTACAATGCTTAATGAAAGGCAAAGGCCCAACTCATGCTCAATGAACCAAAAGTAGACAGAGTAGGGGCAGATGATAGGAAATGAAAGCCAGTTGCTAACAGTCACAAGGAGGAAACTGACAGCATTTGATATATAGGTGTCTACTGAGGATTATGCCACAGAGAGCCCATTTCATAAAATATCAAGCGAAGCCAAATGTAAGTTTAAATGAAGACAGCCAGTCCTTCGAGGTGTTAAAAGAAAAAAACTTAAGACATTAAGTTGAACAGAGCTAACTGAGTGAAGCCTGATTGTGGATTAGGCAGCCTTCTAAACCAGAGTTAGGCTCAGAGACTCCAGTGCAGTCACGTGGTGGAAGAAGTGCCATAACTCAGTGACTGGCACCAAAGCAGATTACAGTCTGTTTACATCTCCAGTTAGATTTCAGTGAAGGGTTACAGAGAAACCTCTAGGTTAGCCCAAAGCCTGCAAGGAGGCAGCCTGCAGCTTGACTTTTAACAAAAGAAACTGTGTGACAAGATGTTTCTATCAGCCTCTACCCTAGTGAACAAAGGAAGAAAGTTTAAGATAGGATTAAAATAGATCTTGGACGGTCATGTGAAGACCTTCATTGATAGGTGATCTCTCTCATGCGTACCCTGAGCAAAGGGTGACATCAGCACAGGAGGGTGGTCCCAGCACTCTGACTGGCATACCCACAGAGTCTTGCCTTCATTTCTTTTCTCTCTCTCATTCCCTCTTCACTTCTTTTTTATTCCAGTTTCTCTTCTTCCTTTTTTGCACTTGCTATAACTTTATTGATTGCTGGGGGTCAGAGTGACATGTGAGTCTTAATCAGGCTATGCTTCACAGTGACAATATCATCATACCTTCTGTATCTTCCCTACCAGCCAGCATGCTGGGCCTGCTGTTTTCTTGGAACCACGGAAAATGCCCTGTCCTCTTTCCAGAATTGGAAGTGGACAATTGTCCAGTAAACATGTAACCAGCTGCCTGACTTTCTGGTCAGTCTGGGCAGTGAAGGGGTTAAGGTCACATTTAGGGTAATGGGTTTTGTGTGTGTGTGTGTGTGTGTGTGTGTTTTCCCTAATGTGAAGACAACAATGTTGATCCTACAATGGAAAGACTTTGAGAACTCTCTCTGCTCCGAAGAGACTTTCCCTGTGTTTGATTAGTTAGTCTCTTCTGCTTCTGTCGCTGAAGTCACTTGGGAGCCGCAGCCATGTTCTTTGGGTTCCCTTGCACTTGGACTACCATAGGAGTATTCAAACCTGCCTGCTTTCTCACTGCAGCTCCCCTGCAGCATCCCTGGCACACTTACACGAGCAACATACCTCTTTCTTTCACAGGAAAATGAAACATCTGTCCAGAAGCCTACCCTAAATCTCAGGTCCCAGGACCCCCTACTTACATTTTTAAGTTTTAATTGTTGTTATTGCCTTGTCCAGGAAGGCAGAGTCCATGGGAAGTAGAGTGTCCACTGTACTGACACAACTAGAGCATGTTATAAATAATACTGACAACAATAAAGCCAATATAGCACTAATTTACTGCTCTCAGTCCTTAGCTGCCAAGTCACAAGCTGAGACACTGCTGGCACAATATTCTCCAACCATTTGACAAGAATCTCAAAAGTCTACTTCTAAATTGCAGTCTACTGCAATTCCCAGACTCAACTGCCTCTTGGTCAAGTCGCCAGTTGTTGTACCTCTGTGACCATCAGCCCTGTGCTATCTCCCCAAGACGATACACGTAGGCCTAATTGTATGTGGCTTTATTCCCCTCTTCCACTTGCTTGTCAATGAAAACGCAAACATATTTCCCGCCATACATATACCTATTTACCATTGCCTTTTGTTTGTACAATGTTGCACCATCCCTGGCTGGTTGACCGGAGCTTAGGAGGCAGACGCTTCATTCTAAGACCCTGAACTGAAGGGCGCTTGTCCATCCCAACTCAGCCATCGACCTCCTGGGTGTGCTGGAGAAA